TGTGGAGATCGTGGCGGGGGCCAGGATCTCTCCCCGGCTTTGACGGCGCCTCTTCTGGTTTCGATGCGTCCCGCGGTCCCCCCCCCGTGGGCCGCGCGCGCACATGCCGCCGCCCATGATTTGCGCCCCCCCCCCTTCTTGGACGCTCCCGTGGGTAGGAGGTGGATTTTGGGGAGGGGGAGGAGAACGGGGAGGATGAGGATGATGATGAAAGGGGGGAGGTGGAGGGGGGATGAGCCCATGTGGATGAGTCAGATGCTATAGGAGAAGCAGGCCTAGTGTGAGGTGGAGCAGAAGAACAAGAGCATCAGCAGAGAGATATGGCATGAACTGGCATGTAGCCCATCGGACTCAGGAGTCACAGTCGCATTTGGGGGTGGGGCATGACGGGCTCCCTTGTCGCGTGCAGGTGCGGATACCCTTCTACGGAAGTTACACCGAGACGGACCCTGTCGTGATAGCCTCGGAGGGCGTCGCAGCTTTCAGGTCGCCCGCGCAGTACTCTCTGACCAGCTCGAGAGGGGAATCAGAGGATAGAGGTAAGTGGTATCCCGTTGCCTGCGGCAAGTTTCGCCACCTTACCAGCACAGCACTCTGTTTGGCGACGATTCGAGCACCGCCGAGGAGGCTGTAACAGGTGACACCTCTCGTCTCTATCTTGCGAGGGCTTTCATGGAGTCTACCTCCCCTGAGGTCCGATGCTGCGGAAAAGATGCAACATCGTGAAACACCACGATCAGAGCCCCGGACCCTATCTTTCTGCGTCATTTTGCGATCCAGATCGACCTGTGCGGGTCCCGGGGCCCGAAAAAATGCGAAAACGCCCGTTGTGACACACTTGCAACGCCAGGATCTCAAGGTCGGCTGCTTGGGACTCGCTTGGTGTCCATTGGGGCCGTATTGGAGGCCTCCGGGGACCCGCGTGGGCCGCCTTGGGCCTCTGTTGGCCGCCGGGGGAGTCTCTCGGGGCTGTCCAGGGGCTCTCCTGGGGTCTTCTTGGGCCTTCTTGGGTCGCTCTGGTGCTCGCTCGGGCTGTCCTAGGGCCCTCTTGGGCCTCCCCGGGGCCTCCTTCGGGCTGCTCTGGGCAATCCTGGGGCTTATTCGTGCTTTCCTTGGCTCCTCCCAGGACCTCTTGATGATTCAACAGCTAGGGGAGTTTTTGGGGTGTTTGACTGGGTTTGGCTCCCTGATCGAAGTAGAAAAACTGCACAAGCCTGAACCTTCGGCTCTCCGCGCGGATTTCTTGGATCGGCGCTTGGGCCTCCTTGGCGGCGCCTCTTGCGCCGATCCAAGATCTCCGCGCGGACTTCCGAAACTTTATGTTGATGCCTTGCCTGGTTCCTCTATTGAAGGCTCTTTGCCGTTCTGTTTGCTGTCTGGGCAGCCTCTTTGGGCCCCCTTGGCGCCTCTGAGGCTCTCGGGGGATGCTGGGTGCGTCTTGCGCTAAGTCGGGGCCGTCCCGGGTCGTTTTGCAAGCCTCGGAGAGCCTTGGAAAGCCGCAGGGAGTCGCTGGGCTGCCCGTGGAGTTTCTGGAGGGGGGCGATGCGGGCGTGACCAGGGCCTTAGATGCCTGACAACAACCCGACCATGCAGACAGCGACACTCTGGCGCGCCTCAGCGTGCCATGCGTCACGATGGCGGATCGATGCTGACGTTGCCGACGGTGTTGTTGATGATGCTGCTGCGGCTGCTGCTGATGGTGATAGTGATAGTGATGGTGATGATGATGATGATAACGATGATCATGATGCTGCTGCTGCTGCTGATGATGATGATGATGATGACGATGATGATGATGATGATGGTGATACTGATGATGCTGATGTTGACGAAGATGATGATGCTGATGATGATGCTGATGATGCTGCTGCTGTTGATGATGATGATTGCTGCTGCTGCTGATGATGCTGATGATGCTGCTGCTGCTGCTGATAATGATAATGGTGGTGGTGGTGATGGTGCTGTTGTTGTTGATGGTGATAGTGATGACGATGGTGATGGTGGTGACGATGACGATGACGATAGGATGATCGGACGATGATGATGATGATGATGATGAGGATGATGATGCTGATGATGATGATGATGATGATGATGATGGTGATGGTGATGATGATGCTGATGATGATGATGATGATGATGCTGATGCTCATGCTGATGCTGATGCTGATGCTGCTGCTGATGATGATGATGCTGATGAGCATGATGATGATGTTGATGATGATGATGATGATGATGATGATGATGATGATGACGACGACGACGACGATGATGATGATGATGATGGTGGTGGTGGTGGTGGTGGTGGTGGTGATGATGATGATGATGATGATGATGATGAGGAAGAGCAGGCGGAGCTGGAGAGGAGGCTGCGGAGAACGCGAAGTTCCCTTCGTGTTCCAGGCCGCTTGAGCCTGGCTGTTTTCGTACGTGGGTCTCCTCCTGCCTCCCCCTGTTCCCTCCTGCCCCCTCCTCGTCGTGTTCGCTGCCCTCCCCCCCACCCCTCCCACTCCTCTCCCCCCCTCCTTTCACTCAATCACAAGCCATACGCCGTCCTGCGCGTGGGCAGGAAAACGAGTTCAAGCAATCGCATTCAGGAATTGGTGAAACGTTGCTCCAGCCGAGTAGTGCGAGAGGAGGACGACGACGACGCACGCCTAGACATGGCAACGGGCAAAGAATGTACAGATGGGACGCCGGCCCCGAAAAGGGTTACAAACATACCACTTGATATCTGACATGTCACTGCGCGCGCGTGAGCAAATGGAGGAGGAGGAGGAGCAGCAGGAGGAGTAGGAGGAGGAGGAGGAGGGGACCAACATGCATAACAAATTGCGCCTGCCGGGCTCGCAAGCTCATGCTCGTTCTCGACGAACGGCGTGACGAAGTCGTGCCACGCATTCACGTCGCCGACGCAGTTCATGAACTCTATGTGCGTCGTGAAAGAGACGGATACTTTCGGGTAAAGACAAGTCGCCCAATCATAGTTCGGCCGTCCCTTCTCCTGTTAAGCTTTTGCACCGCGGGCAGCATGGCGCCAGATTGCAATGCTAACTTTCTCAGTAAATCTCGGTCGTCCGCCCGTCCCAGGGCCCCAAATCAGAGCAGCCGGTGTCTGAGAAGCTGTGCGCTGTACGCACGGGACCCGGCCGGCGGCCTCCAGGGTCGTCTTGTTTCATACACGCGAAACATAAGCTGGGGCAACGTTCACGATGCGTCTGAGATATTTGACCTGGAAACCATCCAAGCGCCGCCGCTCTGCTTTGCGAAGCCATGCAGTGCTCAACGAGTACAGAACCTTGCTTGTGATCATTGCTTGAAAGGTTCCGAGCTTCCTGCGTCTGCTGAGCGACGTGTGCTTCCTGGCCCTCTCACACTTCGAACTGTCCCCCCGAGCGGCCCCGACGCGCCGGTCGAGTTCGCCCCGCAGCCGACCAGAGTTGTGCAGAGTCGCTCCCAATTGATCTTGGGATCTTGGGGCTCTGGTCTCTCTCCAGACAGTGAGCGGATGTCGACGTCGCTGTTGATTTGCATCAGCTGGAACTTGTTCCCCCTTCCTTTGCTCCCCCCAAATCCCTCCTTTCCCTCTCCCCCCCCCTCTCTCTCGCTCTGCCCCCCCCCCTCTCTCGTTTTCCTCCTCCCTCCCCCTCCCCATCCCTCTAATCGCTCGCCCCCCCGCCATCCCTCGCTCTCTCCCCACCGTTGTCATCTTCGTATCCTCCCTCCCTCGCTCCTTCCCTCCTCTCCTCTGGAGCCCGCCGAGGAAGGATAAGTACGACCTGATCATCGTTGACACCAGCGGCCTCGACCCCGCCCATTCCTCTCGACGGGGAGCATCATGGACGAGGTGGATGAGGAGGAGGTGGAGGAGGAAGAGGCGGAGGAGGGGGAGGAGGAGGAGGAAGAGGCGGAGGAGGAGGAGGAGGAGGAGGAAGAGGAGGAGGAGGAGGACGAGGAGGACATCAAGGCCGACGACGACAGCTCAGGGAGGCGGGAGGAGGCGGAGGAGGAGGGACGGAGGAGGGGGGGTATCGGGGATGTAGTATTGTGAGGAGAAGAGGAAAGGGTACGTATGGAGGCCTGAAGACGATGACGATGACAGTGATGTGGCGAGGACGCTGTCGTTGCTTATGACGATGCTGATGACGATGATGTGGTGGAGGAGGAGGAGGATGAGCAGGAAGAGTAGGAAGAGGAATGAGACGAGTGTTTGTGATGGTGGCGGGGAGTGGGATTATGATGTGCACGATTTCGAAAGGGTATGCATATGTCGACTGCGACGTCGACGACGACAAGGATTCTCCGCCTGCGGCTGCTGTTTTTGCTGACGCTGATGCCGACGATGACGATGACGACTCACTGAGACTGTGTGGGTGAGGGGATGACAGACGAGGAGAATGGCACCCGTTGCGAGGGACGGGCGATGGACTCTAAGGTCGTTGGAAAGGAGGAGAGGATGGGGGAGGGAACATAACAGCGGACGACAAACTGGGTGCGCTCATACCGCATCTGACATCGTGCTCCTCAAGCCCATCCCTTCCCATTGCGTTGGACCCTTTTCTATTCGCCGACCTGGGTGTCCCATATTGCATCAATGTCCAATTTGCAGTGGCATGGTTTGATGTATCGCTTGCTGTGCAGAGGGAGGGGCTTTCGTACATTGGATTTAGGAAGGATGTGGATGGGGAGGATGACAAGCAGGAGGAGTTGCACGCATGAGGAGTCCGGGGAGGAGCAGGGGGAGCAACATCAGCATGAGCTGGGTGCGGGCGGTGAGCGGGATAAGCAGACGACAGAGGAGGAACGGGCATGATGGCGACGGCAACGACGAGCAAGGAATCGGTTCCTCAAACATGGCCCGTCGTCGGACGAGAGCGCAGTTCCGAACGACGGAAGCAAGGTGCCGATTCTGAAACGTGGCCAGTGCTGCAGCGGCAACACCATTTTGAAGCACCGAACGCGTACCGACGGCAACCATCACGCATTTCGAATTATTGCAGGGGGACGCCATACGCAGAAGAGGCTGGTGTCCAGAGCTAGTAGCTGGACGGGGCTTTGGGCAGACTGGGGTGACAGACACGGGTGTGGGCGGGACGGGGGCGGGGAGGGGAATAGAGGCGAGGATGGGAAGGAGGAGGAGGAGGAGGAGGAGGAGGAGGAGGAGGAGGAGGAGGAGGAGGAGGAGGAGGAGTCTCGACGTTTGGGCGGAGGGGGAGAGAACCAAAATCCCCTCGGGTCCTACAAAAAATCACGACGGGATGTTTTTCGTTATCTTCGGCCTCCAAGTGCCCTCGCTGGGCCCCGGGACCGTCCACAAATAACTCAAGATGAACAACTGGTCCCAGGGAGTGGGCCGAGACCTCTGGGGGTGGACGTTATCAAACAAAAATCATGAAGTCAGGGGTCTGGGAAGTGAGAAGGGGCGGGCCTTCTCAGAAGGCTTGGAAGTCCCCCAGCCTCCCCAGAAGCTTCCTGAACCTTCCCCAGAGACGAGGAAACCTACTCTCAGCACTTACAATACCTGGATTCGGTTAAGTCGTCTGCAAAAGATTTATCACTTCCAAAGTTGGAAATTCCCTATCTGGGCCCCGTCTTGGGGCCGTCTTTGGGCCCTCTTGGGCCGACTTGGGCCGTCTTGGGGCCCTGTTGGGCCGTCTTTTAGCCCTCTTGGGAGCCTCTGGGGCCGTCTTGGGGCGATTTTGTGGGCCTCGTGGGCCGTCTTGGAGCGTCGGAAAGCGGAAAAGGCGAGAAGGCCAAACACCATGCATGATTTTTGCTTCTTGGGGCCCTCCTGGGACGCCTCTTGGAATATTCTTGGGACGTCTTCGGGGCCTCTTTGGCCGTGTTGAGGCCATCCTGGGCGTTTCGGGGCACTCTTGGGCCTTCTTGGAGGCATCTTCGGCCCTCTTGGGTGCTTTTTGGACCCATGTCTGGCTGGCTGCGCTATCCGAAGACGCGCGCGATCCCTGGAAATGTCCAGCGGTCCCCAGACTTTAAAGCATTTTGAAACCCTACAACTCTGAATTTCTCGCTGCATGAGCCTCGGGGCACTCCACTACGTGCTGCAGGCACGGTGGCGGACTTACTGGTCTGTCCAGCGTTTTTGCGATCAAGATACTAGTCACACTTTTTTGCAGACTACGATCAAGGTACGATTATCGTCGGGACAGAGCTTATACAATCACGGGGAAACCGCACGACAGCCACGAGACAGCCACGGTGCAGCCCAGGACAACCGCGAGACAACCACGGGACAGGCACGGGAGAATCACGGGACAGCTATTGGACAACCAAGGGTCAACCACGCACGGAACATCGCCTGCACCCCCTCCCGCCAATTGAGAGCACCTTGTGATCGCACTTTGCCCTGCTGCGGACGGGATCTCTCTCGCCCTCGCGCAGCTTCGCCTCCCCCGCACGCGCGCCGTGCAAGTTGCGAACCGAAGCCAGCACTGATCTACCAGTTGGGGGATTCCGCTTCACTTCGGTATGACCTCCCATTTTGACTTGAGTAATCGTTGAGTGGAGGTGAGGGTTAGGAGAGGATGGCGAATGACGGCAGATGAGAATGCTGATGATGATGATGATGATGATGATGATGATGATGATGATGATGATGATGCTGATGCTGATGCTGATGCTGATGCTGATGCTGATGCTGATGCTGATGCTGATGCTGATGCTGATGCTGCTGCTGATGATGATGATGATGATGATGATGGTGATGGTGATGGTGATGGTGATGGTGATGGTGATGGTGATGGTGATGATGATGATGATGAGGAGGAGGAGGAGGAGGAGGAGGAGGAGGAGGAGGAGGAGTGAGGAGGAGGAGGCGGAGGAGGAGGAGACGGGATGAGTGGTGTCGGAAAGGCGGCAGATTTGAGGCAACGTCCTTCTCCATCTCCTCCTCCCTTCTCCCCATCTCCATCATCCACTCTGCCCTTCTCTTCCTCCCTCCTCGTCCTCGTCATCTTCATCTTCCGGCTCCTCGAGGCCGTCACGCTCGATCCCCCCCGCCAATGTCGCGGCCCCACGCGTTCGCGCGCGGCCAGGCGCGATGGGGGAGGGCACGGAGCGGACCGCCGACGGGGCGGCGCCGCGGCGGGGGCTCCGTGCGGCCCGTGCCGCACCGCCTTCGCCCTCGGCTACCGCCGAGCTGCAAGGGGGGGGGGGAGGAGCAGCAGAAGCCGCCGAACCAGCAGCACAACAGGGAGGAGCAGCGGCAGCAGCAGGAGTACCAGCAGAGCAGGATGATCCAGCAGCAGCGCACGACACAGCACACGCAGATCGACCCAGACTAGGCGCCCATACAGAAGTTCATCCCCTGAAGATCCTAGGTTGGAACCCGTTCACGCTGCAAGGTACAAACCGCATGGAGGAGATTAGCCAGGAATTCTCGAACTTCCACCTCCTCCTCCTCCCTGGAACCAAAATACGGCAAAAAATGCACACTCCCCACCATCACGACACTTCTCGTTCCCATTTCTGGATCCACTTTGGCTGGGGCAGGGGCGCCATGAGTAACAGTTCCGCGGGTTGTAGCATAGGTTTGAACCGCCAGAGGTTCAGGCCCCAGGACGTTGTACGAATTGACCACCCACCAGCTGAACTTCAGGGCCGTGCGGGCACTATCGATATCGTTCAAGGATCTTTCCGTGTGCGAATCATAGTTGCATATATGCCTCCTCGACCCTCGGCTCATCATCAGATACGTCACTGGAAGCTTACCTACACAAGAATACTCTCGTGGGTTACCCGACAAGCGTCTTCAACCCCGGCACGACTCGTCCCTATTATGTTTGGAGATTTCAACACGGGCCTAGGCAGGCAGGGCGGCAAGCTCGCAGATGATGCAAGTATCGGATCTTTTCAGGCCAGCGCTGAGAATGAGATCGGCCGTTTAGTTCATAAAACCCTTCTCGAAAATGACCAGGCTGCAGTAAATACGTTCTACGATCTGGGTTACACTTTCTTTGGAAATAAGAACGCTCGCTCACGTATTGATTATTTTGTTGTCCCTCAACCTCTTCTTCAACGTGTCTCGAGGATGTATATGTGTTGGAGGTCTCATCGTCGCACGCAAGTACTACCACATATGCTAGACCATATCCCGATGGCCCTAGAGCTGTCGATCACTGCACCACCGCCAGCATCGCAAACGGGGTATTATGTTTGGGACTGGGGCCTATTAGCCGCGGGACTCCAAGTAGGCCACTCTAGACGTGAATTTTTAGAAGACCTGCACAACCAGCTCTCGTCGGCGACCCCCGTCTTGAACATTATTAACAAGGACGATGACCCCACTCGGCACACGGCAGTGGTCAGTCATATCATACGGACTACGGCCTATAAGTACTATTCCAGAGTCGCCTCCACACCAGCATGGGTCAAGGAGGGGAGGAAGAGGAGACTATTCTTGTTGCGCAAGCGAGCAGATCTGAAGGAACGTTGTGGCACACGGACGCAGGACCCAGAACTCAAAGCAGTCTCGGCCGACCTCAAGAGATTCACCAAATGGCGACACCAATGGTGGCAATACTCAGTAGAGCAGGACCTCCGAGATGCCTGGGCTAAACGAGAAACAGCCCGTGTCGCCGACCTTGCCAGACTACGTGCAGGCACGCGTACAGGAGCTCGGAAGCGGTCTTATCTATCACTACCGTCGGCCCGACCTCTAGCGCAGGACTTTCACACAGCACTTGCGCGAGCAGGAGGAGAAGGAGGATTAACAGCAGAGCCAGCGTATGCGAGCATGTACATGACAGACGATGACGCTATCCTCTCCCTCCTCGCCCGCC